TATATATTTTACACATTGGTTTAATCCTTGATGTGTTGCTATAACAAAATACCTGAGATTGGGTAACTTATAAAGTATAGAGTTTTATTTGATTCATGATTGTGGTAGGTGAAGAGTCCAAAGAACATAATGCCAGCATCCTGGAAAGTCACACACACACATACACACACACACACACACACACTAATGGCTGCATCACAAATTGGTGGAGAAGTGGAAAGGGAACTAGCCACGTGCAGAAGGGACCAAGGACTTGGGGTAGACTTACTTTCTACAGCCTCCTCTCAGCCAGGTGCAGTGGCACATGCCTGTAATCCCAGCTACTCAGGAGACTAACGTAGAAGGGCAGGGGCTCAAAGTGGAAGGACTACTAGTACACGTAGAGAGAATGGGCAGTACCACTCCAGTGTACTGTTGCCAAAAGTGCATGACTTGAACCTAATTGTGAGAAATTCAGGCCAAGGGGACAGTGCATGAAATAACTGGCCTGTGTTCTTCAAAAATATTAGTTCAATGAAATATAAAGGAAAACTCAAACTCTCCCAGATGAACGGAGACAACATGCATAACTAAATGCAAAACAAAACAAAACGAAACAAAAGATAAACAGAAACAACCCATGCTCTTGGGTTTTCTTTTGCAATAAAAGTCATTGTTGAAACAACTGGCTAAATCTAAAAGATCTGTGAGTTAGGTGTTCTATCAGTTGTGATTCCCCCAATTTTGAAAATTGTACTGTGAGTATGTAAAAGAATTTCTTGCTTTTAGTAAATGTGTATAGAAACATTGAGAGGCAAACAGTGCATACTATACATCTTACCTCTAAAGTAGCATGGGGAGAAAATATAGGTATATATAAAGAAGGTAAAGCAAATGTAGAAACAGGTTAACATTTGAGGGATGAGGGTGAAGAATATGGAATTCTTTGCACTATTACTTTGGTAACTTTGCTGTAAGTCTGAAATTACATCAAAATATATAAAAAAATAGAACAATGTAAAATGAAATGAGCTCTCTCATAACCATCAAGGGGAGAACCAGGTACAGGTGCAAAGGACAGGAGAGTGTGAGAAGGTAACTGCTGTCTGCCTGTCAGGTCACGCCCTTGACTGCCCTGAAGTTTGCAGAGCTCTCGGTGAAGGCAGGCTTTCCCAGGGGGGTCATCAACATCATTCCAGGCTCAGGTAAGCCCTCAGGGACCCACTTTGCTATGACCGAGGAGTGGCATGGGGTAGCCCAGTGGCTGTTTTCCCACTGGAGTCTTACCCTGAATTGTATTAAAACTAAATACAGTTTACCAAGTGTAATGTCCCTCACCATGTGCTGGAATCTTAAAGTAGAAATGTAGTGTCCAGTGAGCAGAGGAAGGTAGTGGGGGGCGGTGTACAATATCATTAAACTGACCCCGAGGTGGTCAGGTTTTTTTGAAAACTGCTAATAATGTAAATGCTCAAAATAAGGCAGTAAAGTGTGTTAACATAATAGAATTCAGTAGTCACGGTTATGGAGAATTTTAATAACATCAAAAATCATTGTTAAAATGACAATCAGGAGCCAGGCATCATAGTGCAGCCTGTAATCCCAGCTGCTGGGGAGGCTGAGGTGGGAGGATCTCGAGTTCAAGGTCAGTCTGGGAAACTCAGTTAAATCCATTTTGATTTTTCAGTATCTACTTTGGAGGATAACAAGCAAGGCTTACCCACCAGTTTTTCTAGGTGAGGGAGTGACAGTCGCTTAGAGGATATTACTTTAGATTTTTGTCTGTTAGTAATTAATACAGAAAATATAAAACTATCATGTAATAAAAGCTTAGAAATTCTAATTCCATGAAGTCAAACCTCTCTCATGCAAGACCTGAGTAATGTTTTAACGACTGTCTTATCTCCTGATTCTACAGGTGGGGTAGCAGGACAACGTCTTTCTGAGCACCCTGATATCCGCAAACTCGGGTTCACTGGCTCCACCTCTATTGGCAAACAGATCATGAAGAGGTACAGACTTTACTGTGTCAACGCGAAAGACACGTGGATCCAGGGTTCTGTTTTTGTTTAAACAGAGCACTTCTGGGGCTAGAAAAACACATCAGATGTAGAAGAGAAATCTACTTATCACTGCTGCACATTGAAATGTTTGAATAAAAGACTTTCCAAAGCTTTAAAGCCCACAGCAAATAAAGCCAGAGCAATGTTGAAATCTACCCTGTTGGTAACTTTCAACAACTCAGCACAAAAAGTTTCTGCACTAACACTGTGGCCCAGATTGTTTGGGGAGCATAAGTAAGAAACTGGAAAGATGTTTGTGATAGATTTATATATTCTATATGACATGGATTCTCAAAATATAGTAATATTGGTTTTTTGAAAACTGCTAATAATGTAAATGTTCAAAATAAGGCAGTAAAGTGTGATGACGTAATAGAATACAGTAGTCACGGTTATGGAGAATTTTAATAACATCAAAAATTATTGTTAAAATGATAATCAGGAGCCAGGGACCATGGTGCAGCCTGTAATCCCAGCTTCTGGGGAGGCTGAAGTAGCAGGATCTCGAGTTCAAGGCCAGTCTGGGAAACTCAGTAAGACCCTGACTCAAACTCAAAAATAGAAAGGGCTGGGGATGTAACTCCAAGATAGAGCGCTTGCTTAGCATGAGGCCCAGAGTTCAATCCCCAGCTGCAAAAAAACACCACCCACTAAAAAAGATAATAGGGTGCCTCACATGCATAAGGCCCTGGGTTTAATCCCCAGCACCCCTGCTACACACACACACACACAGATAATTAGGGAGAAAAACAGGATATAAAATTGTATCTATCCAGTGATCGTAACCATTTTAAAAAACATGACAGCTCCGGTAGGACACAGATCAGAAATAAGTACATGGAAATGGTAAAAACAAAGGTCATGGAGCCATAGAATGGATTTTTTCCTAATCTGTCTACATTTCTGTCTGCATGTCTTAAATAAGAACACTTACATAAGATAGGAATGAAACAGCCGGCTTCTAAAATTGATACTCCCTGCCCCAGTGTTCCACTAGTCTAGTTAAAGATTGGATTTTCTTGGCAGGTGTTTATATAACCCAAATTCCTAGAGAATGGGAATTTACCCGCAAGGATCTCTGATCATTTGACCACACAAAAAATTTAAGACTTTTTATCATGAAAAATTCCTAATACTACGCCAAACACACGGAAACATACAATGACTGACGCCCATGTGCCCAGCACCCAGCTTCCCCGCCAGCCACTGCTCTGCACCCACATTTTGTCTTTGGATGAGTTTCTTACTGTTTCTGAGCTTCAGCTATGCTTTCCAGGCCAACTGTAAGTAGCCTATGATTAAAAAAAGCAAGGGCAGGGGGAGGCTGAGGCAGGAGGATCGTAGTTCAAGGCCAGCCTCAGCAAAAATGAGACGCTAAGCAACTCAGTGAGGCCCTGTCTCTAAATAAAATACAAAATAGGGCTGGGGTGTGTGGCTCAGTGGTCGAGCGTCCCTGAGTTCAATTCCAAATACCAAATTAATAAATAAATAAATAAAGCCACGGTGGAGGTGTAGGGGGGACACTGACAAAATGCTCATTTCCCGTCTATCTTCCTCTAGCTGTGCCCTAAGCAACCTGAAGAAAGTGTCCCTTGAGCTCGGCGGCAAGTCCCCACTTATAATCTTCAATGACTGTGAACTTGACAAGGCCGTGCGAATGGTGAGAGCAGTTCAAAGGCGGGTGAACAGCCCGCTTCTGAAACACATTCCCCTGCTTCTTTATTGGAGGTCTTAAGTGAGATTTAGTCTTATCTAATTATAAACAGGTACCATCTTTTTCATACTAAGAGCACTTAACATTTTTAAAAAGTAGTATTCATATAATTTCTCCAATTAAAATGTTTTCAAAAATGGAACATAAGTCACAGGAGTCACATCGAAAAACTTCCAGACGTTCTGATGTTGCTCCTGGCTTCTCCCTCCTTTCCCCTAACACCTCACCCCTTCCAAGGTCACTACTTTTATTTGTTTTACAAATCAAGACACAGTAAAGGGTCCTCTATTAAAAAATATTTTGCAGCCAGACACAGTGGCACGTCTATAGTCCCGAAGGCTGAGGCAGGAAGATCTTGAGCCCAGGAGTTCAGGGGCAGCCTGGGCAACATAACCAGACCCTGCCTCTTAAAAAAAAATAAATAAAAAAAAGTAATTGGCGGTGTCACTCTCCTGGTTTTAGCAATGTGGCTTTATAAGGTATTACTAGGGAGGAAGCTGGGTGGGGGTATATAGGGCTTCCTACTATTTTTGCAATACCACCGAGCCTTAAGCTATATCAAAGTATAAAAACTTACTTTAAGTAAAGCTTGAAGGTTAAAAAAAAGAGTTGGGGCTGGGCACAGTGGTGCACGCCTATAATCCTAGCAGCTCAGGAGGCTGAGACAGGAGGATCACAAGTTCAAAGCCAGCCTCAGCAAAAAGAGAGCAGCTAAACAACTCAGTGAGACCCTGTCTCTAAATAAAATACCAAATAGGGCTGGGGTGTGACTCAGTGGCCGCGTGCCCCTGAGTTCAATCCCCAGTGCCAAAAAAAAAAAAAGCTGGGCTAGTCCTCATTCTTCACTTCTGAGATTCAGGCCTGCAGAGAGCTACCACTGGCACGTTGTGCTGAGCCTCCTGGAAGTTCTGGGGGAAGTCAGGGTTTCCTGTTCTATGCTGTCTCCAGCCTGTGCACTGAGAAGCCTTTCACATCCCCCTCTCTGTGATCTTAATGCACACTCACAGCCAAGCTTCATTGTGCAAGGGCCCATAAGAGAAAGCGTGGTCTGGGAGTGAAGGAGACCCAACTCCTGCGTGCATATGAGGTGGCTTTTCACTGGCAGGCAGTGGCTGGGGATACGCAGGTCAACATCAGGGTCAGGACTCCCCTGGACATCTAGATTTCTGCAAAAGACTGAGGAGTAGAAAAAGGGAGGAGGGACTTTTTCCTATACCATACTGTTAATTAAGTATCAATTCACTAGGTTTCTCATGCTTTTGTTCATATAACATGAATTAACAGGAACAACCAAAGAGTGCTGAGGGTGAAATAACTACACGTGGAGAAAATCACATATAATGATTAAGAGAGGGCCATTCCTTCCTTTTTCCTATCATCAGATATTCACAAATAGTTTGCTATTGGCCACCATTTGCCTCTACAGCATAGGAATGTGTGCCTTTACATAGAGTTCTGGTTCCCACCATGTAAGAACTTGTGGGTACAGGAAATACTATGCTATTTCATATATATATATATAATTCATTTATTTATTTTACCCAGTTTAGGGAGGTTCCAAGAGGTGAATTATCCCCTAAATTTAGAAAAAGAAGATGCAACAAAACCCTGCGAATTAGGGCTCAGTGGGAGAGTGCTTGCCTAGCATGCACAAGGCCCTAGGTTTGATCCCTAGCAACACACACACACACAAAATGAGTCTTCTTAAGCACTAGTTTTTTGAGTGCCTTCATTTAAAATATTTTGCAAACTTCTTGAAAAAATGGATCTTCCTTTCCATGGGGGGCATGGTAAATAAGGCTTTCTAAAGCTGTGATTTATATGAACCGATATACAGATTTTAAAAGCAAAACTTATTATACAGGTATTATATTTAAATGTATACAGAATATTCGAGATTTTTCTTGCAATATACAATTTGCTCTTAGTGGTATAGACTTACTGTTATAAACAATTTGGAAAGTGCTCATGGACCAAAAACAGCTAAGTCAAGACTAAACATCTCCCAGCAGTTCTCACCACTGAGACTTCCGGAAGTCTCAGTGACTCTGTGTGTTGCCTGCTATCTTCCAGTAACACCTAGTTCTCTCTGTAAAATTGTACGTCAGTGTTGACTTTTCAGCGGTGCAGTCACTGTTTTGCCTTCTGTGTTGAAGGGCATGGGCGCCGTGTTCTTCAACAAAGGAGAGAACTGTATTGCCGCTGGGCGACTGTTTGTGGAAGAATCCATCCACGATGAATTTGTGACCAGAGTGGTAAGGCGTCTTCAGATTTGCTTTCAGTTGCGTAGAAATTGCTTTTGCTTGAGCTGAGTGTGGTGGTGCATATGGCTTGAGAGGCTGAGGCAGGAGAATCCCAAGTTCAAGGCCAACCTGGGCAACTTAATGAGACCCCATCTCAAAATTTTTGAAAAGGGCTGGGGTGTAGCTCAGTGGTAGAGCACTTACCTAGCATGCCCAAAGCCCTGGGTTCAATCTCTAGTACCACACACACACACAGAAATTACTTTTGCTTGGAAAGTATTTCTGGGATTTTTCATGAATCAAACAATATTGTTGATAACAATATTGTTTTTTTTTGTTTTAAATCAGCCTTGGCTGGGGCTGTGGCTCAGTGGCAGAGCATGTGCTTACAATGCAGGAGGTCCTGGATTCAATCCATGTTTTCTTTGTGTGCTTTTTAGGTTTGGGTTTTTTTTTTTTTTTTTTCCTTCATTATTGGGGATGAAACCCAGGTCCTTGCATATACTGGGCAAGCACTCTACCACTGAGCTACAGCCCCAGGCCCCCAGTCCATTATGTTTTTATAAAATAAAATAAAAAATGACCAACAGTCCTTTATTTTGTCTAGCAGGATACTGACATATTTACAGTTACAGTATATGACATCTAGAATTTGCTTCAAAATAACCCAGGAAAAGCAGAGGTGAGGAGGGGAATCAATGGGCCAGAGTTGGTAGTTTCTGACGCTGTGTGAGGAGTACTTGTGGATTCATTTTATGATCTCTCGGCTTTTATATGTGTTTCTAATTTTTCATAGTCACAAGTTACAGGTCTGTGTGAAAGCCTTAAATCTACTTGAGAGCTGTCAGTACCTACACCTTGCCCTGCATCTGTGGCCCATTAGATCCTTGACACTTCAGAGAGCTATACTCCTGGATTTTTATGAATCCCTGAATTACCCATGAGAGGTGCATCACTAGATCCTTACAAGACTCTGTTTTGCACTTAACATGACAGGATATCATTTCTTCCACTAGCATAACTAACTCCACAAATAGCCCCTGTAGGCTGGTCATGAATCCATAGACATGGAAATAAAAGTCATTAATAGGACTGTTAAGGTGAACTCTGTGGCTAAAATAAACTCTAAATTATGCCATGTTGTATCATTATGAAGGTAATATTAATTATGAACTTGCTTATATTTGCAAAACCACCACCTAGCTTCTTTATTGCTCCCCAGAACCAATTTCCTACATCCCATCCTGCCCCCAAAGCAAAGGAATCCTCTGCATGATAGCAGATTCCAAGAAGTCAGAGAGTGGCAGGCAGGGCAGGCAGTGGGCAGGGGCTGCCTCCTGAACTCTGCAATTTAGTTTGTGTCTCAGTAAAATGCAGCGTGCAGAACTAAACGCCACAGGCTTTCAGGGTCAGCAATAACTGGATGAAATTTCAATACTGAGACCAGAAAATTCAAGGATGTGCTCTCTCTGCCCATCAGCAAGCACGTTTTGCACACGAGCTTTGTGTGTTCATTCAACACCTGTTTCTTGAGCACCTGCTTAATACCACACACTGTGTGGGTGCTGGAAACATCAAGGTGAATAAGGTAGACATGATCCCTGCCCACTCAGAGTGTCTCCCCGAGCCCAGGACTCCATTCAAGCCCCTGAGAGAGGATTGCCACACCTGGAGTCAAACTCATGGCCCTGTGTGGTCACGGTGACTGCCACGGTTTCTTCTTATTAGAATTAGACTTAGCATCAGAAAACGCAGGAAAAGATCAAAACAAGCAAGCAGCTTGTGCCATCGGTTTTCCTCAGAATATTCTAGCAATTCCTCTGGCTACACCATGAGAATTTCACAAAGGCAGTCTGACATGTGTAAGCAAGGGGAAAAAACAACAAGGTGGTCATTCAGAAATTCTTTTGCCATGAAGAGTGTGTGTATGCTGTATTTATGAAAATTCCAGAACATCAGTTGGCTATTTTAGTGGACTAACCTTCTGGATAATTTTAAAGCTTAGGTATCTTACATCCTGTTAGCTGGTTGAGAACTTGGGCTTTCGACTCATAGCACGTAGTGGTTTGTGCACCTGGGCAAGTCACTTAACCTGTCTAGGCCCTGTAAGACAGAAATCATAAATACCTGCTTGCTCTGGAGCCATCTATCGACAGCTTCAAACAATACCCACCGCATGGTTGGAACCCAGTCAATGATATCCATTCTTAACAGTGAATTCATTGTCTTTTGTGGCCTGGGTGCTATTCAGGTGGAAGAAATTAAAAAGATGAAAATTGGTGATCCACTTGACAGATCTACTGATCATGGGCCCCAAAATCATAAGGCCCACTTGGAAAAGCTGCTGCAATACTGTGAAGCTGGAGTGAAGGAGGGGGCCACCTTGGTGTACGGGGGAAGACAAGTCCAAAGGCCAGGTAAGGTCCCCTCTGTAGAGGGCTTCAGGGTGCGGTGCCTGATTCTTCTTAAATTGGAGTAGATGGTGACAGTTTTCACCTCAGCATCACCTTACTGCAAAAGTAAACACTTGCATGTGTAATATGGGTCTGAACTAATTTCTACACCCTGCTTGAGCAATTAGCTGGGATATTTTCACAACACCATTTCCTTTATTCTTTCTTCTTCTTCTTCTTCTTTTTTTCTTTTTTCTTAACTGGTATTGGGGATGGAACCCAGGGACACTTTATCACTGAGCCACATCTCCAGCCCTTTTTATTTTTAATTTTGAGACAGGCTCTTGCTAAGTTGCCTAGGCCCTCCCTAAATTGCTGAGGCTGGCCTTGAACTTGCCTCAGCCTCCTGAGCCACTGGGATTATAGCACCCAGCTCCACAACACAATTTTCCTGAGTCTCATTTTTCTCCTATGAAAATAAGATGAAATGTGCACACCCTACAATACAAAGTTATGAAAATGACAGGCCCTTTGTTATAAACAAGTGTAATGAATAGCTGTTATCAGAAACCAGTGGTCTTGATTCCTGGCACTGAGATTTGATCTCAGCCAGCGTAGCCTGGGAGGGATTTGTTCCTCTGCCTAAAGCAGGACCTGGTACTGAAGTATGTGAATGGCTTAATGTTATGACTCTTGAAAGAAGGAACTAACCACCAACCACAAAAACTGCCTTTTCACCGGGTACAGTGGCCCACGTCAGGATTGGAAACTCTGAAGGCTGAGGCAGGAGGAGACCACAGGTTCAAGGCCAGCACAGCCAATTTAGCAACACCCTGTCTCAGAACAAAATTAATAATAGGGAAGGGGAGATAGCTCAGAAGTACCATACTCAAGGATTCAGTCTCCAGTACCCCCCCACACACACACAGAGCAAATAACAAAACCTTCTGTTCCACTGTTACAGGTAGATTGTACACCAATACCTTACTCTGAACATTGGTAATTATAAGAAAAAAATTGAATATGTATCTTATGTTTCCTATATGAACTGAATTTTTAGGTAACTGAGTAGCTGATAAAAGAAACTCTTTTTTTTTTCCTAATGATGGCATCCCGGCTAATTCATGTAAAAAAAAATTGAAGAGTAGGAAAAAAAATCATCAGTTTGCATTTCTCTGATAGATGATGCCATTGATTCAGGAAATGAGTCAGGGTAGGCTGAAGTTGTTAGGAAAAAGGTTGGTGGGAAAAAATAGCTGTACAATGGAGGGATCCCATGGTCACCATCTGGAGCCCCTGGTCAACTTGAGCACTTAAAGAAGGACAACTGGATATTATGCATCTTCTCACGAAATACAATGTGTGATGCCCAGGGTCACCTATGACATGTTCTAAAAACCTAAACACAGTGGTGCCATTAGGTCCAACTTTCAATTTGTAAGGGCTGGGGGGGTGAGGTGGGAAGTTATTGTTTAATGGATTCAGACAGACGGTGATGAAGGTTACCTAACACTATGAATGTATTTAATAACACTGAACTATGTGATTAAAAATGGTTAAGATGGTAAATTTTGTGTTGCGTGTATTTTATCACAATTAAAAAAACAAACAAACATGAACTAGAGAAACAAATTTCACTCCAAGGAAGCAATGACAAGTTTAAAATATAAGATCTTCTACAGAACAACCGACCCAGTATCTCCAACAAGTCAACTGCCTGAAAACCCAAAGAGAGGGCAAAAGTATCCAAAATATTGAGATAAAAAGACCAAGCAAATGCTATATGTAGAACTTATTTGAATCCTAAATTGAACAAGTTGATTGGAAAATTAATTTAACTAAATTTAAAATTAATTAAATTAATTGGAAAAAGTTACTTTCTGAACAATGAGAGAAAGTGAAATATAAATTACAAATAAAGAATGAGCATTAATTTTGTTAGGTGTGATGCTGTGTTGTGGTTATATTTTTTTTAAAAAGGTCCTTATTTTTTACTGATTTGCCACGAAGTACTTGGGAGTTAAAATTATATCCTTGCTTTAAGATATTTCAGCAAAGGAAAAAAACAGCAAAAAAAAAAAAAAAGAATATTTTACTGTCCATTGTATTATTGTCTCTACTTTTAATATATATTTGAAACTTTCAAATAAAAACATTAAAAAACAAGAACCTAGGAATACCAACACTGAGTAGAGACATCCTCTTGGTTTTTCTGAGGCAGAGAGGGGAAATTGTAATGTAGTTGAGACAACTGTTAACTGAAGTATGGCTTCACCTAGAATCGACATTCTTTTCTCCTTTTTTTCCAAACAGGTTTTTTTATGGAACCAACTGTATTCACAGACGTGGAAGACCACATGTACCTTGCCAAAGAGGAATCCTTTGGGCCTATAATGGTCATTTCTAAATTCCAAAATGGGTATGTTCTTCGGGCACAATTAGGTTTCAATTTGGTAATTTTTCCCCTCTGCAGTTACACTATTTACAGAGCATGACATCACCAAACATGCAGTTCTACCCTAAGAATAAGTAACTCACTAAATAATTAGAAGGATATGCTTTTGCTAACCATTGTGGATGGTAATTTACATTTGCTTCTCAGCTTACTTTAAGGGCGGGCACGATGGGATTTTAGCTGGTTAAATTTGTTTTTGTACAGTTGGCATGTGAAATCTCTGTGGAATAGGTTGATTCCCGAGAAATAACAACCAGTTTTCACATTTACATTCTCAGGGAAGGCAGCATTTGGGAAATCTGATTTTGCCAAAGAAAGGGGGCTGTAATTATTTGGTTTCTGCATGGCCCATAAGCCAAATACTGGGGTTTTTTTCTTTTTAATATTTTTTTAGTTGTATATGGACACCATACCTTTATTTCATTTATTTTTATGTGGTGCCAGGATGGAACCCAGTGCCTCACGCATGCTTGGCAAGCGCTTTACCACTGAGCCACAACCCCAGCCCCAAATACTCAGCTTTTTTTTAATATTTATTTTTTAGTTTTAGGTGGAAAGAATCTCTTTATTTTATTTTTATGTGGTGTTGAGGATCGAACCCAATGCCCCGCGCACGCCAGGCGAGTGCGCCACGACTTGAGACACATCCCTAGCCCCAATACTCAGCTTTTTATAGCCATGCCCCCAGTCGCCATATATTCAACTGCAAACGGCATGCTGGTTGTCATCCTACATGAAACTTCCAAGATGTTCCACATACCAAGGAGGACCACGTGGTAACTGGGTTTGTAAAACCATACTGCATTTGATGGGATTCTCCCAGTACACCTGAAGAAATTCTTCAGAGTGGCTTTAGGTTTACCTCAACCAATGGGAAATTGGGAAAACAAATGTCTACTTTGGGAAGACTTCTTGGTCATCAGCAGACATTGTGAGAGGTCTCTGAGCACACGAGGCTGTGGTGAGGGGTCATTTGCATGTGGATCTGAGGATGCTTGTTCCCCTTTTCTCTCTCAGTTCCCCCAAAGGAGAGTACAGGTATTGTAGGAGAGTCTCAGTTCCCTTCAAGTTAGCTTAAAATCAGTGCGAGTTTGAAACTGGAGAGAGTCAAGATGATCTTTGAAAATCCCTCTGGAAGGCACTATGTTGAAACCTGTGCTGTCTCCAATAAATGCAGCACAACTTATTTTTCCTGTGGTTCTAGAACAAATCCTGTTTCTCTGCTGGAGCATCAGATGAAATTCTTGCTTCATCTACTGGCTGTGTTGTAGAAAATGCATGCATTTTTAACCGTTAGGACCACACTGAATAAGGGGAGATACACCATGAAAGGCACGATAGAACTGGGCTCTTAGAGCAGGTTCATGTCTCCTCTTATCGGGGGTGTACACAGAGTTGGCCCTCCATATGCAATGATTCTATATCTGCAATTCAGACAACCTCAGATGGAAAATAAATTGTATTTATTTATTTATTTACTGGATATTGGGTATTGAACTCGGGGGCACTCAGCCACTGAGCCACATCCTGAGCCCTTTTTTTGTATTTTATCTGCAGACAGGGTCTCACTGAGTTTCTTAGGACCTCACTTGCTAAGGCTGGCTTTGAACTTGCGATCCTCCTGCCTCAGCCTCGAAAGCCGCTGGGATTACAGGCATGTGCCACTGTGCCCTGCTGAAATTTCTTTTTAAACTGCTTCTGGCCAAGTGTGGTGGTGGATACCTCCTCTACTTCCAACTACTTTGGAGGCCGAGGCAAGAAAATCACAAGTTCAAGACCAGGCAGGGCAACTTAGCCAGACCCTGCCTCAAAATAAGAATTTTTAAAAGTGCTGAGCAAGTAACTCAGTGGTACAGCACTTGCCCAGCATGAACTAGGGCATCACAGAGGGAAAAATCTGCATCTGTAATGAACATGTACAGACTTTTGTCATTATTCCACAAAGAATAACAGATATTTATACAGCATTTATGTTCTATTAGATATTGTAAGTAATTTAAATATGATTCAAAGTATATGGGAGGAGGTTTGGGGTGTAGGTCAGTGGTAGAGCACTTGTCTGGCATGCGTGAGGCCCTAGGTTCAATTCCTAGCACCGCAAAACAAACAAACAAAAAACTTCCATAAACTTCTATATAGTATATGGGATGAATGGAATAATGTGCATGGGTTAGGTGCAAATACTACACTATTTTGTAAAGGACTTGAGCTTCCACAGATTTTGGTACTTGCAGGGGTCCTGAAACTAATGCCCCTCAGACACAAAGATCACTGTATACAGAGTGGAAAGACAGGAAAATAACCAGACTTCTTAACACTCTCCTTTGACACCCTAGAAGTTTTCCTCTCTATGTAGAAACGGGAACACGTCACTGCCACCTGCCTACATTTTATAGATGAAATATTCCATGCTTTTTGGTGTTTTGCTTTTCAGTGTTTTGCTTCTTTTCTTCCTATTTTACTAAATAAGCATATGACATGGAGTTCATCTGTTCAGTTTTTTTGTTTTTTGCTACCGGGGATTAAACCCCAGGGTGCTTAAACACTGAGCTACATCCAAAGTCCTTTTTTAATTTTGAGACAGGGCCTCACTAAATTGCTGAGGCTGGCTTTGAACTTGAAATCCTTTGAACTTGAAATCTTGCCTCAGCCTCCAGAGGTGCTGAGATTCCAGGGGCATGCCTGGAATCGAGGCAGAGTTCACTCTCACATGAAGTGACATCATAGTATAAAGAAATATAAGGCATAGTTATCCTTGCCCTTGGGGAGCTTCTGTCTTCCAGTTTTCAAATGGCAAACACAGGGGTTAAACCAGCCCCGCGGTTTGTGCTTTCATAATGCTGGGTTGGGAGGAGTCGCGCTCCCTGGTCATAGCTGACTTCCACTGGCCACGTAGTGTGCTCTGGGCACTCTTAGCTCATTTCATCCCATGACACTGAGACAACTGCTTTTGCCATTTCATCACATTGCCCCAGGCGGGTTGTCACAGAGCCTGCTCACTGAGCCACCACCCTGTTGCCTGTGTGGGATTCGGAAAGGCCTCGGGGAGGCATGACGGGGACTTCATCTGTGTGTGCAGATTCTGAAGAGATGGAAGGAAGGGGGGTTACTCAGAAAATCTGGACACGGGGCTCAAGGAGAGGGGAGGCCGAGGGGGTCAGGGATGACACCATTGTCACAAAGTCACAAAGATGACTTCAGGTCAGATTTTAGATATGGATGCAAAGCCCAATTAAACTAGAGTTGTCATATTTCATTGAGGCTCAATTTCCACGTGAGCTTGAATATTTCATCTGTAATGTAAGCAGGTGGCAGTGATGGATCCCCATTTCTCCTCAGAGAGGAAAACTTCTAGGGTGTCAAAGGAGAGTGTTTTGCTTCTCGTGTAATGAAGCTTCCTGTCTTCCTGACAACCCTCGCAGGGACATCGACGGTGTCCTGCAGAGAGCCAACAACACAGAGTACGGCTTGGCCTCCGGGGTTTTCACAAGAGACATCAACAAAGCCATGTACGTGAGTGACAAACTCGAGGCGGGGACCGTGTTTATCAACACGTACAACAAGACAGACGTGGCAGCCCCGTTTGGTGGAGTGAAACAGTCCGGCTTCGGGAAAGACTTAGGTGTGTCTGGCTCTACTTTTTTCTTTTCTTTTAATATTTTTTTAGAATTGTAGATGGACACGGTATCTTTATTTTATTTACTTACTTTTATGTGATGCCGGGGATCAGACCGAGTGCCTCACCTGTGCCAGGCAAGCGCCCACCAGCCGCAGCCCCATGGCTTTACTTTTATCCTACACAGTCCTGTGTTGCTACATCACAGAAAACCCTGCCCTGTGCTTTATGCAACTCTTGAGTGTTGTTTTGAAGGGCGTCTCCCTCATGGCAGTTAGATCTGGGTTTATAAAGGTACTGATTTATTTATTTTTTTAATGTTCAGCATGTTTTATGAACATAACACACTTATAGAAAAAAAAGACAAACTGTGAGGGAAGGTAATCTTTTTTTTCCCAAAGGAATATATTTTAGCTAAAATATGTTAATTTTTAAAAATCTGACATTCACCATGAACTTGGTTGGGCTTTTGTGGGGCTCAACAGAACCAAGAAAGGAAAATGGGTGGAGGGTGATAATAGCTAGCTAGCTCCAAAAATAAAGCCTGTCTCGGAGCTGGCTGGCAGTCTTTCAGAGTCAACACTGTAACTGGCAGATTTGCTGGAAGTCCAAGAGCTCAGATTTAGAGTTTGTAAAAAGCCTAAAATGTAATTCACCTTTCAAGCAGTAGATTGGGAGCTAAGTTTGTGACAGGTCCTATTCTAAGTACTTTACCTCTTTGAGTATAAGCAATTGTCACAGCAGCTCAAGGAGATAGGTACTATTATGGTCATATTGTACAGTTTAGGGAAATGGGGCTCAGAGAAGATAGGTGAGTGGTCAAAAGTCACACAGCCAGGCAACAGCAGAGAGAATTAAAAGGCAGGTAGTTTGGCTGTGGATTCTACCTCTCAAATCTCCAGTCAGACATGCTTCAGAATATGAAACATTTTTGATTTAGTAAAATCACCATCTTAAATAAGTTTGGTTCATTTGGGGTATTTTTTACATTTTCTCTTTCCTGATGATTTTCAGCAATGTTATTTGTAGCCATAAAAGTGGGTGAAGGCAAAGGCTTCCCTGCCCCACGTCTTCTATCTGACTTTTATCCCTGGATCCAAAGCACGGTGGAACACTTGGGAAATTTTTATTGTGAAATGAGGCAACTCTTCTCACTTGTCTTTTGACAGGATAATTGACAGCTTTTACTATAAAGCATTCCAGTTTGCCTAACAGTTTCTTCCTCTCCACAATTTAAAACCCCTTAGCTCATTGCTTCTCAACCTTAGCTGCACATTGGATCAGATGCATCTGAAAGCCTTAAAAAAAATACAGAGATACTGATCCAATTGCTGTGGTATGTGACCTGAGATAAGAGTTTTCAAAAGCCCTCATTTTAGCTCAGCTTCCAGAATCACATGCTCATTAGTTTTACCATGGTATCCACTGCCCTTAGCCACTGTAGGTACCAGTGATTATATAGCTCAAAAACAGAAACAGGTGAAGAAAAGTAGGAGGATCTGTTTTCTTCTTCTTCTTCTTCTTTTTTTTTTTTTTGCTTAAATGTGCTCTTTTGTGTTTCTGATATGATATAAATTGCATTTTCCTTACCCTTAAAATCAGGTTAAACAAATGATTCCCAACTCTTTCCTGTGCTCCAGTCTGCTTCATTTAATGTAATCTAGAACACAGTATCCTGGTCACTTCTGTGTATCTCATATGAACAAAGGAAAAAGACGTAACTCATCAGTATGCAGGGAAATGAAGCAGGAAGGTTGATCAACCAACACTGTTTCTGAGCAGGCCTGGCAGCTGACCTAAGCCCTCACTACTCCAAGTGTGGTCTGTGGACCACCAGCAGCATCAATGGAGAACAGTTAGGATGTCTAACCTTCTCCCCAAGTAGCTGAATCAGAACCTACAGTTTACGAAAGTCCTCAGCTGATTCACATGAACCTGAAAGTTTGAGAAGCGCTGGTCTGGGTGACATTCCTTTTACTTTGTGACCTATGCCCATGTCTGGAAGGCCAGTAGTACCACATCCAACTTTGAACTTGGTCCATCAACTGCTATTCTCTTCCGTAGGTGAGGAAGCTCTAAACGAATACCTCAAAACCAAAACGGTGACTCTGGAGTATTAGAACAACGCCATCATCATCAGGAAACCCGGGACAGGCAGCTCCACTTCTCAACTCCGTATGCTGGAGAAGCCTGGTGTGCTGAAGAAGGCAGACCAGCCGGCAGCCAAAACCTGTGCACATGGACCATGAGAGGGTCAGGCCACTTGTCTGGGCATTTACACACGTGCCTGAGTATTTTCTAATACACCTTTTATACCTTAAAATGACTGGCAAGTGTTGGGTTTTGACAATGTTCTGTATCATATATATTTCTAAAATATCAAGGTCATTTTCTCTTCTAAAACTAATCTATCCGTGGCTGTCCATCTTGAAAACATCAATATCAAGCAGCTATAAGATATAAGGTGCATTTATTAGAATCTGTGTGTACAGGTTTTAACTCCTGAAGCAAACCTATGGGATACTGAAAAGATTTTCTATAATTTTGCTTTCAAGGAACAGTAGATCCTATAAAGAATGTGAAGGGAATTTCTTTTGGAGTGAGATCCTTCTTTGTGTCTTTGATGTTCTCTTTTTCAACCCACTGTGAAGGTGATCAGCCCAAAACATTTCCTGGGGATCCACCTAGTAGATACGACATGGGATTACAACTCTATTATGTTCTGAGGCATACACAAAATTTAATAATGTGGTCTTTGACCTCACGTGGCTTAAATTTTACTAAATAGCCTACAAAGTGACTTTTATAATAAGACAGAGTGGCAAGTAAATAGGCTTTGAAGGCCGATCTTGATTCATATCACACCATCATACTATCTTTGGGAAACCGACACAACTTCTCTGAGCCTCAGTTTCCTTATGTGTAAAACAGGGACAGCAATGCCTTCCGCAGGGCCCCTATTATGAGGATTTGATGCGACAATATAAGAAAAGCACAGCTGGGCATGGTGGACACACCTGTCATCCCAACTGCCCGGGAGGCTGAGGCAGGAGCATCACAAATTCCAGACCAGCCTCAGCAATATAGTGAAACCCTGTCTCAAAATGTCAGGCTTGTGGAGGCTGCTGGGTGGGAGAAGACCAGTCCAGTGTGTGAGGCCCTGCTCAATCCCTGCACTGGGGGTAGGAGAGGAGCACCTTGTGTTGTGTGCTGCTCAGAGTGAATACTAAGGTCAGCTGTTGCCCTCTATCACTGTTTTAGGATGACACTGAGAGAGGTTAATTAACTAGAGGTTAATTAATTGGTTCCCCACAACCTTTTCCAGTAATCATCAATTCTTTGACTACTTTTCTCATCTATTATCCTAACAAGTGCCTGATACAGCAGAACAGTGGCAATGCTACCAGGGAAAGTCACTTTCCTTCCAGTGGCTTCCTTGTCTGCCACAGGACATCTTCGTTTCCACTTTTCTACTGACTAGTTCTGCTGCTTGCTGGCTGTGTGACCCTGAGAAAGTCAGCTATCAACATGCCCCAGTCTAGGTCTGGTATCTAAAAGAGGAGATCAATCCCCATCTCCTGGGGTATAGCAAGGATTCAGTTACGTATACAACACGCTGAACAAGTAGTGTACCACTGTGCTCAAGAAACGGCAGCCACCGTGGCCCACAACGTACTCACATAATTTCCCATTTCAGTCAAAAGTAGTCAGGTGGTAAATTATGACCTAACATGACAAGAGGGGACCTCCTGAATCACAGAAGTCTCCAGAAGATGACCGAGCAATTAACTTCTATTAATCCTCCTTCTGAATTACAATTTCAGCGAACATGCCTATCTCTTAGGCTTTGAAGAAGCCATTACTTATTACTTAGGAGACTAGAGGAAGGAAATGTAAGGCATCCATAAACAGCAACAAAAACAGAGGCAGAAACACTTTCAAAGGGAAGGATACCAGTTTGATGGTGCCATGATCAACAGAGCAACTGTGGCTTGTAGGTATTTTAAATTATACTAGAGTCCATTTGCCATCAGAAATTCTGTCAGAATGAACATTGGGCCCAAAATGACAGTGCAAATTTGAATAAAATGACAAAGGCATTAGGATAAGCAACCGCTTTTATTGTCCGTTTGTTTCGTTTGCTGAGACAGGGACTCCCGAAGTTGTCCAGACTGGTCTTGACCTCCAGATCCTCTTGCCTCTGCCTCCTGAGTAGCCAGGATCACAAGCATGCACCACCACACCTGGAAAGTGACCCCTTCTCTATGAAGTGTTTTAACCGATTTCATGTGATTTGGAGTATCACTTTTTCAAATTATTTTAATAATAGAATGGTAGACAAAAATGTACCTATTCTTCTGAACAGATTTTATTCTCTAATTAGCATTAATCTCAGTAGCAGTGTTATTGATCCCAAGCTTCTCTGAGAATCTGATAAAGCTAGATCCCTCTGTCCCACTTCTACCCCCAAATTCATGTGCGCACACATCATTCTGCAAGTATCTTCAAGGGGTTCACAGATCTCCCAGAGGCTACAAATGGGCCCCAGATTAAGAGCTTCTGTCTTCGTAACAAGTTCTATAAAGTTCTTATGAGCTTGAGTTTCTATATCTGAGTGTTTATCATAGTCACAGGCTCCAATAAAATTAGTAAATGAATTTAAATTAAACACAATGATCTACAGTGGTTAGGTGGCTTAATTAACACATTGGGTAATTAAATCATCATTGTTCCTTCAAATCACCAGTTATCTGGCTAAGCCAGAGGATAAAGCTATGATCTGATTTAACTCCTAAACTGGGGACCAAGCCCTTCTATTTTCCTCTGACCCCCGTCCTCAGGTCTTTGTGAAGGCGGCTCCCTTGGCTAACTCCCTTCTAGGCCTTTCCTCCCCGCTGCCCTGCTCGCTAGGCTCCCACTTAAACTCAGCTTTCATACCTGGTACCGGAGGTGTGTGCCTGCCCACTAGATGTGCAGCATCCCAGGGATGGCATTCTGTCACCTGCCAAGGGCCTGCTATGTGTCCAACGTCATGCCAAGCACCCTGGAGACCTCTCTTAACCATCACGCTATCTGAAGAAGCAAGTAAACCGAGGTGCTCTTCTCACGACCTCCACCATCACCAACTGCCACCCTCTCACACCCAGACCATTGTCAAAGTCTCCCAGCGGCTCCTCCTAAAGTTTAAGTTGGATGGTGTTGCCCCTCTGCCCGCGTTTTGCTTACAATAACTTAGTCCAGCGTATTCATCATGGCCCGTCCACCTGGCTTCTGGCCAGCTCCCACCCATCGCTGTCCGTTTCCCTCTTGTTCTGATCTGCCCTGATGTTCCTCAAACACAATAATCATGCTTCCATCTCAGGGCCTTTGGACTTCCTGTTCCCTTCTCCCATCTAACAGATGTCTTTCTGGGCTGGGGCAGGAACCCTGATTTGTAGCATTTGCAGGCATCTTTAGGGCGGATTTCAAGCTACCAATCGGACCTCTCTGAACATGAAATCGGGATGAGATCCACTTGGTCAACAACTGAGCGTGGGCGCCAGCACAGCATCACCTCTTCCTCCAACCCTCCCACACAGCCTCATGGCTCCCTGACTTCTTTCAGGTCTCTCCTCAAATATCGTCCTATTCCGGACACATTCCCAGGCTACTCTCCCTTAAATAGCACATGACCCTACACTCATACCTTCTTTATTCTAACGCTGTGTTTTCATAGTACTTATCGCTGTCTGGCATGTATTTAACATTGATATGTTCCCATTAGAGTATAAGCTTTGTGTTTTGTTCAATACTGTTTCTCCTAGTATGTAAGAGACGCTCAATAAATATTTGCTTTCAAATGGAGAAGTTTAGTAATCTGCCCAAATCACACAGCTATTGAGTGTTCCAGCAACGAGGCTGCTGGTCTTAATGAAGCTGAGATAATTTTTATTCCCGATGCCTAAATCAGGACCTGGGTAGGGAATAGTTGGTACACACTAAGTATTTCTCAATTAAAAAAATAAAAATTTTAAAAAAAAGCACAATGGCTATTGTCTGCCCCAGCCCAGGGTAAGGAACCACACTTGGTTTTCCTCACTTGCTCTCCAAGAAAACAAAGCAGAGGGAAACCTGGGATAGAAGGAAGCTATGAAAGGTGGTGGACAGACATCAGACATGATGGGTGGGTTATTTTACAACTTCTGTATGAATAATGCCCAAGTGGATTTTTTAAGTGGTTAAATAACATAAAAAATATGTAAAACGGGAAGGTAAGAACCATCTCTTCATACAGCAATAAACAACAGGTGATATTTGACACTGTCCCAAACTTTTGCAATGAACAAGTTTTTTTTGTTTTTGTTTTTTTGTAGTTGTAGCTGGACAGAATGCTTTTATCTTGTTTATTTTTATGTGGTGCTAAGGATTGAACCCAGTGCCTTACACATGCAAGGCAAGTGCTCTGCCACTGAGCTACAGCCCCAGCCCATGAACAGGTTTTTTAAACCGTATTTAGTATAAGTTGAACATAATTTTGTTACTTGCTTTTAAAATTAACAATATATCATAAGCATCTATGCTAATAAATACACTTCTGTCTATTTTTGATGGCTTTAACTCAGCTTCTCTGCCATTCTTGGACATTTAGATTTGCTTTTTGCTATTTTAAATGTCACACTAAATTTTACATAAAAATCTGTGACCAAAGTCATACTTATTTAATTGCTATAAATTCCAAAAGTGGAATTCCTGAGTCAAAGAATGCAGTGATCTATCTATAATCTGTTTCCCCAAATCTCTGTCCACTGGGGAGTTTTCTTATAGCATCCTAACTCCTCACACTTACTGAGCACTGTTCTAGGCATGCAATGTGTATCAACTCATTAATCTCTTCCAATAATCACATTAAGGAGATCCCATTATCTTTACTTTACAGATGGAGAACTGAAATAAGTGGCTGGGCTGGGACTTGATTCAGACAGCTTCGGAGTGTGTGTGGGGCCCGTGCCTAGAGCACCCATGGTGGCCAGGCCGCTGACTCCTCACTAACTTGGTGTTGTGAGGCCTTAGCAATGTGCTTAGCATCTCTAAGCCAGTTTTCTCATCTGTCAAGTGGATAGAAACATGATCTTTCATAAGGAGATAGCCATTTTCTTTTTTAACAATAAAAAAAATTTACTCCAGCATAAAAGAAGTCTGAGTAGAATAGTACACTGGATACAGAAGCTTAGTGATGGCCTCTGCTTCTCT